AACAACAACAACATGGGCGGCTTCAACCGGGGCGGCTTCGGCGGCGGCATGCGTGGTGGGCCCGGTGGTATGCGAGGTGGCCGCGGTGGCATGAATCAGATGGGAGGTATGCCCATGGGCCCAATGGGCGGAATGCCAATGGGCGGAATGGGCAACCCCATGGGCATGATGGGTGGAGGCATGCAGGGTAAGACTCCTGATCTGTGCACTATCTCTTTGTCCCTACTGCATCGTACATCCCAATCTGGCAAACCCACGTCTGTGTCGTTTGGCTTGACCTATTGCCAGTGGCAGCGGGGTCAAGACAAGACCGATGATGAAAGCACTTCGGGCTTGCTACAGATGTTCGTTTGTTGCTTGTGTACTTGCCATGGACTATTCTCACCACTCAATCTGGGTTGCTTCTTACTGATCTTTCTGCACTCTAGGTTTTCAAGGAATGCCGCAACAATTCAACCCCGGCTTTTTTGGTCAGGGAGGTGGCGGTCAGGGAGGTGGCGACTGGGGAAATCCCCATGGTGCCAAGAGACCTCGTCCAGAATAAACGGGTTTTTCTGTCGAGGTTACCTGTCGAACCTCGACTGGCGATTAGGGGTTGCAATTCTCCATGGAGAAGAGCCTGCAATCTGTACTATCATCACCGCTATGCTCTCGAGGAGCTTGGAGGTCTGCAATATTGGGGATTTGGGTTGGCGTTGCTTTCATCTTGGGTTCTGCTTTAATGGTTCAAATTACTTACTACACCGCGACACGATGGTGACCCTGGACTTTCATACTCGACATAGAAGACAAGAGCGGCAGTCGGTGCTTCTTAAGGACGACAATATTGATTTCGGATTTCCACAAGGAGTCTTGCGTGAGGAATTCATTCTGTGTTCAATATGATGCCGTCATTTATTGCGCTAATCTTTTTATCGCAACCCCGACGATAGTCTGAATTTGGCGCCATCGCTGCACGATGATCTCCCTCTGGACCGCTTCGCCGACAACCTCTAAGGACTCGACCTCCTTGACCGTAGCTTCAATCTGCTCATCATACTCCTCGAGCATCGTCTTTAGCTCCGTGTCTACCTTCCACTGGGCGCCCTCCCCCTCATCCCGCCCTTCAGCAAACGATCTCCACACCCACTCGGGCACGACGAGGCTCCGGACGGCGACCTGCGTCCTGAAGCAGACCATATCAGAGTCGAGCACGTAGCGACCCCAGAAGCCGGCATCCTCGAGGTCCCGCTTACGCGTCGCGGGCTTCCGAAGGCGCGGCAGCAGCACGTCGTCGAGCGAGACCTCGTCCCACTCGTTGGAGGCGCCCTCGAGGATGAAGCCGTACTCGACGAGGAGGAAATCGTTGCTGTGGCGGCCGTAGCAGATGGGGATCTCGGCGCCGCGCGGATACGATGTGTTGGCGGTGACTGTGTAGGAGAGGTCGCAGTAGGCAACGGTGCAGCCGCGAGCGGCGTGGTTGAAGAGGTCGGCAACGGGCTGCAGCGAGAGGTGGTCCTCCTTGGGCAGTTTGGCCGTGAGGGGCGACGTGTGGTAAAAGGTACGCGAGTTGACAAGGAGCCAGGCGTGTCTGTACCTAGACTCGTCGAGGCCCGGGACGGCGGCGACGCAGTTGGCAAAGTCCTTCTCGAACTTTGTCTTTTGCTGCTTCAGGAGCTCGCGGGCCGCTGGGGGCAGGTACGGGTGCAGGCGCTCGTCCCAGGTCAGCGGCATGGTGGCTATGTCGGCGCGGGATGGGAGGACGGCTCGCCAGGGGGCAGGGCAGGAGGAGGCATCCGTGGCGAGGTCGAGGGCGAGCAAGGCGTGAACGGTCGTGTCCGGAGGAGATGGAAGCTTCTTGCGGAGGCTCGGTGGGAGATCGTCCAGAGTTTTGATCGCTGAAGTGGGGACCTCTAGAACGACATCGCCTTCTTTAATGGCACGGGTTGAGATGAGACCTATGCCCCGGCCAGGAAAGGCGTTGGGCTTAATGCCGTTGAGGACGACATTTTGAGTTTTGGACCAGTCCAGCAGGTCATGTATGATATCAGACATGTTCTATGCTGTGACGCTTTGAACACGGTCTGGTGGATTTCAATATTCTCGTGGGCTGTGATTACCGAGAGTACCTAGTATAAGCTTGTCGACGACTTCAGTCAGGACCGGGATCAGAACGAACCCATGCGAGTAGATTGGTTTCGCAAGGAAACACCAGGCTTTCAGATGAGCCTGAGATGAAACCTGTAGAATATTTCAAGAGAACGGATCAATGACAACGTGGCACGCTGGAAGTGGTGAGTCGCAGAGATGATACCATGCGTTTGGCCTAAGACTCATCACTAGGTAAGGTAGGTAGCCAAGTGCGATTCCGACAATCTGGATCACCGGAAACAAACCAGACAAGTGGGGTTTAGATCAAGCCCCCAAGCTGATGACAAAAAAACTTGAGACACTAAAACCCCTCACACTACCTACCTAGAATAAGGTATCTACCACCCAGTGATCCGGCCTTCCATTTCCACGACATCCTTCATCCGTTGAGGCATTGAATCAACCCAGCTATTAACACGCTCTGGATTAGCTTGAAGCTCCTGCCAGGCCTCTATCGCTAGTGCCTTGAGATCTTCTACGTCCCAGTCTGTTCGCTGTAGGATACGCTGCTTAGGTATCCTCCAGGCGTTCTCTATAGGAGAGAGGTCTGGAGAACCTTGGGTATTGAAGTAATAGCGTAGCCCATGGGCTTGCTTCCAGGCCCGACATCTCTGACAGCTATAGCCAGAGTCTCCATCTTCCTCTAGGATGAAGGAGTGACCTGCTTCTAGCCAGGGCTTTACCTGGCCTTCGAGTATCCGGTCACGATAGACCTGCTGGCTTATTCTTTCGTTGGTACTGGCCGGGACCTCGTAGAAGATGAGATTTGAAATGAAATCGTACCCAATTGCTGCCCAGGCATGGAGTCTCTTCTTATGTTTCTCCTGGGGTTCTACCCACTCTTGGGTACAGTCAGGGCAATGCCGCTCGCCTTGCTTGTGGACAATCCGCGCCTTGCCCTCGGGCCCAATACTAAAAAGGACCTCGTCGCTGAACCGGATATCTCTCCAGCTCTCCGGAGTAGGGCGTAGTTCCAGGGCCTTCTCTGCAGCTTGAAGACGTCGTAGGGCGACTGCTGGAGAAACACATTTCTTAGGGCAGGCAATACACTTCCTATACCCAAGGGGTCCGAGAGCTCTCTGGATGGTTCGCGTAGAACAAGGAGTCTGTACGCCAGCCTCGAGAGCGATAGATTGCCAAGAGACAGTACGTGCTTCATAACCCGCTTTCCAGATAAGCTTCTCTATAAGATTGAGCTCCTTGGGCGTAAGGGTGCGAGGGCGGCCTCGAGTCTCTTCACGTTGGGGGTCGCTCTGGAGGCGGCGTTCATTGCGTTCTCTCAGGATCCGATATCCAGAAGATCTAGAGACCCCATTAAGGGCAAAAACACGGCTTTTCATATAGGGTATGTTATATTTTTCCATATGATCAATAGCCCCTAGAATCCTGGATTTCGTAGGGGTGTCGAGGTGTGTATATTTAGTCATCTTGGTTGCAGTTGTGGTGGTGTTGTTCGGTGAGAGACTTTGAGCGTCTCAAGCTTTTTGTCAACTGCTTGGCTTCTCACAACAGGTCGCAGAAAAGTGGCCCACTTCTGTGAATGCTCCGGTGATTAAGCAAGAATACTCAGGCCTTCGTGACTATGCGTCATGATCTGAACGTTTCTCTCTTGGCTTACTGGAAGTGTATGAAATGAATAGATCTTCTTTCGACCACTTGGCAACATAACACACTGTGATCCCGAGTTGACCCTTGGCCGTAAATCAGCACCTTTGGAGTCTTAACTTCAGACGGATGTCAAAAGACTGCTCAAGGGCCTGTGGTCCTCTTGCATGGTGTATCCCTGCCAGCCAACCAAACCATTGTGATGTAGTCCTTCTCCTTTTCCGATGATTTTGGGAGTACATCGCTATCATACGATCACCACATCATGTCATGGAAAGGTCGAACAGCTTCGATCTGTTGATGCACCTCTGGCCGCCACCCTTGTCCAGATCCTGTTGGCCCTCGAAACTTTCAATCCTTGGGGGCCGGTTGACGTTGCAGGTAGTCCTCCATGCGTTCAGCCAGGAACCCTCGAGCACCTGATCAATATCTTCAACACTTAGTCCAGCAATCTCGGGTACCATAAGGAACACGTAGAAGAGCCCCACAGAACACCAATCCGCAAAGAAAAGAAAACGGATCCCCCGAGATGTTACCTAAACAATGGCCATGGGGCTGATGACACCGAGTGAGCTGATGCGTTGGCTGGGGATTGTACGGGCAGCGATGAGGCTATTCATATTCGGAGACAAGGAGGCGGCCATCTGCCTGCTGCAGCGACATCACCATCTTCGACCGATGCCCCTTTGATAAGAACTTCTATAGATCCACAGGCGTCAGGATATCGGCACGAAGATTGAATACACCTCAGCAACGCTACACTGCGCGTTTCTTACTGGGCTGACATTTCTGTACTGTCTGCGGACGACGCCGGCTGTCCGCGCTGAGGTGGCATGTGAGGAGATTATCAAGACGTGCACTGACTGCACCATGGCGTTAATGGCAATTACCGAGGGCTGAAATTGGGCTGCACCCTATCGCAATACTTTTGCGTCGCTGGCGAGTCGGATAGTGTCTATGGTGTTTTATGGGAGCCCGTCATTGCGGATGGGGCCGCCGACTACTGACGATCGGGAACGAGATGTTTTGGCGGATTGAATGACGAACATCAACAACACAACATAAGCATGTTTGGCGTGTCTGGCTTGCTGTCTGGTTTCGTGGTAGAGTTTACTCCCTTGTACCATAAAAGCGAGGAGGGGTTGTCATGATAAGGGCAGCCTTCAGGGTGCTGCTCTATTGGGCTTTGTTCAAGTTAGCTCTTCAGCGGGTTGCACGTCCCCCCATTAGCAGCCTGGACCCACTGTCGGGATGGTTCCGCACCGATGCTCCGTGTCTCTCGTTCAGTAACGGGAAACCGCAAGCTTTATGGTCCGTGACATTCATCGCCCTGATCGTACGACGGCATCACACAACATCCTGCGAGCCTCTGCCTTCATAGCGCTCGCAACCCTCTACTCCAGCAGACAGTATGAAGTCCGTCTGCAGGGCTCCATCGGCTAGGCATGCGCGCCATGTCGTTCGCGCTGCGACATGCGCATCATGCAGCTCAGCACCGCGACCATTCTCCGTCCTCAACCGGCCCCCGCCGAACTATCCTGGCCATGTGCCTCTGACCACCATCGAGCGTGCCAGTCTCGCCATTGGCTCCGGCCTCATGTCCTTGGTTGATCCGCGACGCGGAGGTCAGGCTCCCTGCACCTCGTTCTTGTCTGCGAGGCACTCTGACAATGTCATGGCCTAGATCTCATCGCTACAGTTGGCGAAACGACGGCCACGCCCTACTTCCTCCCCCGCCTCCGCGACGCTATGCTGGCTGACCCGACGGGTCGCCGCATCCTTCGTGACCGCCCACGCCTGACATCGACCTCTCTCAACCTCGACCGTCTCCGTAGTCTTCCCGATAACACCGTCGGCCGTGCCTACGTCGGCTGGCTTGACCGCGAGGGCGTGTCCCCCGACACGCGCGCCGCCGTGCGCTACATTGACGACGAAGAGTGCGCCTACGTCATGCAGCGCTACCGCGAATGCCACGACTTTTATCACGCTCTGACCGGCCTCCCCGTGTATCGCGAGGGGGAGGTGGCGCTCAAGGCTTTCGAATTTATGAACACCATGATCCCCATGACGGGCCTCGCTGTTGCGAGCTACTTCACCATGAAAAAGAGCGAACGGGCACGGTTCCGCAGCATCTACGGCCCTTGGGCCCTGCGAAACGGGAGCAGGTCAAAGGAGGTGATCAACGTGTACTGGGAAGAGAGGCTGGAGAGCAGCGTCGACGAGCTGAGGGCCGAGCTCGGCATTGAGACGCCGCCGGATCTAAGAGAGATCAGACGGAGAGAACGGGAGGCTAGGAGGAAGGCAAAAGAAGAATCGGCGAGGCGGAACGAGGCGACGGGCAGCAGCGCCTAGGGCAACATGGAAGAAAACTTGTACATCATGCGACCACTTGTAACCATTTTCTTGTATCACAAGGCAGTGCCGCCACGGCGGTCCGGGCACCTCCACAGAAAAACAGGAACAACATTGTTCAAAACAGATGCCACTTCAGAAATAACAACTCCGTTGCGCCAGAACCCCCAATGGTATCTTCGAATTCGTCATCGATGCTCTCGCGTGGGGGCGAACGCATCCCTACAGGTCGAAAAGGTCGTCATCGTCATCGTCCCACCCCTTGCGTCGGCTGACCACAATCTTCTCCTCCTCTTGCTTGTCGGCCACGGCGTTCAGTAGCTCCTTGAGCTGCGCCTCGGTCACCTTGGACTGGAGCTGCCCGGATTGCGCCAGCATGATGAGGCGGTTCTCGACCTCGGTGGCACGCTGTTCCTTGACGAGACGGATACGACCAAGGCGGTCCGCAGCTTCAGGATGCAGAATCTGACCCAGAATATGCTGGCGCGCTTCACTCTCCTGCTGTCTGTGCGGTGCATGGTTAGCGGGCGTGCTGTAAGAGTAGTCGAGCTGCGAGGATATGGGGGGTCGTCGCACTGTCGTTGCTCGGCCTGCTCCTGTTTTCCGAGGCCACCGCCTCCTCTGCCGCCACCGCCGCTACTGCCTCCCTGAGCCTTGAGCTGCTCGAGGCGAGCCTTGCGGATCTTCCACTGCGTTAACCTTGATGTTCTCTCCACGCGCTTGCTCCGGTGCCAAGCAGCTTACCTGGTCAAGCTCTGAATCGTCCATGTCTCAAAAATTCGGGTAACTTCCGACGTCGGAATAGCGATGAATTGGTGTCGCGAGGGATCGGAACAGTCCGTTTAGGTAGGTAGTTTCGGTAGTTGTGCCAGCTATCGCTCAATACTAGATGACGTTGACAGGCTTTGAGCTTTGCCCCTCTTCGTGGACAGACCAGGGCCCCTCCAAAGCCGGTAGAACATCGGCTCACGTACGGTTGTTCAAACGGTCTAAGCTGATGACCTCAACCGCATTTGGTTCTACGTCTGGGCTGCTGCAACAACGAAACTACAGCCTCGTACTACCGAGGCTGGCCTTGGGCGGAATTCCCTGGCTCACTCTTCCTGTGCAGACCCTTCGACACCTGCTCCAGCATCGCTCGTTTGCATGCTCCGGTGCCCCGGTGACTGCCCTGTACTGCGACATTTGCGATGTTTAAGTCACCCACACCCTCCACCACCAACGACCTCACTCCTTAGCCTACTTCTCTCCTCTGTCAGCCTTTCCAGCGAAGGACAGGTTTCTCTTGTTTATCGCCTTCATACAGAATGGCACCCCTATACCTTCCGCCTGGATACGACTTTGACGCCCAGCACGACGGCACCGAACACCTTGCCATCAACAACACCTGGTTACGCCGCTTCTTGACACGACTAGCGCTGCGTACTACGGCGAAGTTCTATTCACGAGACGGTCTCTGCGTACCCATCTCAAATCACAGAATCGTCAAGACAGGCATCCGCACCCATCTGACAGAAGGTGCGACTCTGAAATACCTAGCGGAGAATACAAGCATCCCTGTCCCCAAGGTCGTTTGCTCTTTTTTACACAAGAACAGAGCATACATAGTCATGGAAAGGATTCAGGGCGATGAGCTACCGGCAGTCTTAAATGTTCTGTCCCCAGAAGCGCTCGAGTGTTTTTTGCAGCTGAGAAAATTCATCCAGGAGCTACGCGCTCTCAAACCTCTAACCACTGGAGTAGAAAGCTGCGTTGGCGGTTCATTGTTCGATTCCCGTATACCCCGGGGAAATCCTCGATTCGGCCCTTTCACGACAATAAAAAACTTTCATTTCTGGCTCAGAGATAACCTGAAGCCCGAGGATCTCCAAGCCCAGAAGAGGGATCAAGATTGGCATGACCTCCAGAAAATGATGGATCGGCAAGATGGGCCATGTCCTCCGCCAGTTTTCACTCATGGTGATCTGAACCCGTTCAACATTCTTGTTCGTGAGGGCAAAGTGGTCGGAATCATTGACTGGGAGTTCTCAGGATGGTATCCTCCCTACTGGGAATATACATCGGCCTGGTTTGGCAACATTACGAGACTCGAATGGCAGAGCAAGCTTGATAAGTTTCTCGATCGACCACCTCTTGAAGACTTTGAGATGGAGAAAGTTCGCAATAAATGGTGGGGTGAATGCTGAATGAGGATCCAACTACTCATTACAGCATGGCTAACGAATGAATCACCTCGACAACATGACGTTTACCAGCTTCTGGTTTGCGACCAGCCTCTTCCTAGAGTAGATGCTTGCTAAGTGGCTCCTATTACGGTCGGCCCCAAAAGGGCTTAGTGACAGCCCTCACACGGCCGTAAGTACCGTACGGCATCTGTCCAATTGAGCCAACACGATACGTGTTGATTCAACGTCGTTGATTCAATTGGGCTGCAATTGTAGAGTTATAGGCCCCAGGCCTATATACCGTCAACGGGTCTTACCCGTAACATGTGTCCTGTCTTTCAATATGCGAAGTCATTTTACGTCAATTCCAAAGCCTGGATCGCAGCCAACTCTGAAGGAGTTGACTACTTGACCACCAGGTAAGCGACCCTCTGGCGATTGACAACGGCTATAAACGAGCAACAATGGTACATCTTGTGCAGAGCTGTAACATGTTCTGTCAGGGGAAAAGCCGACAATCTGGTGGTGAACTCATCGCACGCTTCTCTTCGAGTGCCGGAACCTGGCGCATTTGGGAAGAACAGCCCCGTCGGCAAAGGCTCGCCAATAAAGTGAACCATGAGTGTGCCCTGGAGAGAAGAGTCTAGTACTACTGACCTGTGTGACATATTTATCGGAGGGAAAAGAGACGCATCAGAGCTGAATGAGGTCCTGCCTGGGTAGGTACATATGGTAACCGTGAACAGACTTCCCACCAGTCAGGAGTCTTCACGGGGCCGTGCTCATCCGCGTCCTGCCGTTCATTGACCAGGCAGCTTGGATGTGGAGGGCTGATCAACGACACACTGTACCTCAGGCAACTGCTCTGACCATTCTAGGTTTCCCGTTGGGGACCAGATCGCTACAACAAAGCATTGCACATATAATTACCTGCGTTGGTCCCAATTGGGGTGAGCCACTTTTCGAGCGAGTAACCTCCTACGATGGCCTTCTGGCACGGCATTCATTTCACCAGTGCCCAGACTCGAGATTCATGAAGTCTCCTCGGACATTCACCATCCCCCACGTGCATTCCGGCTTCCAGTAGTTCATGTACCCTACATCTCCTCACCTTCCACACCCGACTTGTGAGAAATCTCCGAGTTATTTCTTATCACAAATGGCATAATGGTGGACCAATTCTTTCAATGCTCAGTATCCGACTGTGGAAGGCCAAGTGCGCGCTCCGTTGGAGCCGGGTGTGATATTTGTAATATGCACTTTTGTGGCATCCATATGTCCCGGGACTTCCACAAGCGCAGCATAGGGGTAAGAACTACCTGAGTGCATATCGCTTGAGTTCAACATTTGCTTATTGCACTCCTCATGCAGGACCTGGATGGCACAGCCTACAACGCTCTCATCATCGCCGAAGTCGGCCGCCTTCGCGCTGAGATAACGAGAAGGCTGTCTGCAAGCTCGCCTCTACCTTAAACGCAGGCAAGCCTTGCGTCGTCGAGTATCCTTCGCAGGTTGTTGGACCAGACGCCTTGATGGGTTGTGCCAACTACCACGTCCGAATCCTCTTCAGCGATGGATCCCCATCGTGGCTCATGCGAGTACCAAGGGTCTCCGGTTTCGCCGTCCACTCGCTGAGTACCTGATTCGCAGCGAGTTTGCAACCCTGAAATTTCTAGAACCCTCAGCGGTTCCGGCACCGCGTGCCTTTCGTTCGGGATACCATCCCGAGGTACCGACTGTGGCGTCGGTGTCTGCTTTCTGTTGATCGAAGAAATGCCCGGCAAACCTTGGGACGGGGAAGGAGACGCCGCCAAAGTCTGGAAGGGCCTCGCCGAGATCTTTGCCAAGTTGGAGAAGCACCCGTTTGCCAAAGCGGGGTCTCTGAGCGTCGAGTCTGCTGGTGACACCCCGTTTGTTTCTTCTGTAGCCAGCGACAGGTTCGTCTGTTTACACCCTTGCGGACCATGTGAAACGTCGGAGGCGTACTACACGGCCTGGGCAGAGCAATACCTGGCACTGATTGCAGATGGCCAGCTCTATCCCCAGTTCTCCGTCGAAGCTTATTTGGTGTATCGCTTTCTCCGAGACAATGCGGCTCAATTAGCCGACGGTGAGAACCGATTCTTTTTGAAGCACGTGGACGACAAGGGAGATCATTTGATGGTGGATGAAGACCTCAACATTACCGGAACAATCGACTGGCAGATGGCGCGTACTGTTCCCCGACGCGAGGCATTCGCGCTTTCCCTTGTATCAGCCGACATGCGAGCACTCTGTGATGGTGAGGTTTCTCTCAGTACCAGCGATCTCGCGTTGAGAAACGCCGTGTACGAGACGAGCGAGGGCATGGCGCATCAGATGGGAGATGAGAAGGTGAGACGATTCTTCTGGGGCTTGAGACTGGAGACGCAATGGGTATATGCGTTGCCACTGGCAAATGCCTTGCTTCAGATGTTTGGCATAGAGCAAGGTTGGGATGAATGGAAGGAGGTGGCAATAAAACAGTATGGCGACGATGAACGCCTGGAGGCTCTTGTGAGAACGAGCTCGGGCGTGTCTCAATCTGATAGATAGTGAGTATTTATATCCGGTCGGGAGATTCTGCCATCACGGAACGCCTTGATCTGAGTCATAGTTCCCTCGTTGTCCCTTACTGCTTGCGTGCTTGTCTGTGAATGAGTGCTGAAGTCTCTTGGCCCTTCCGGCCATATTGGGTTAATCAGGGGCCTGACCAGAGCAATCTGGCATCTTGAGCCGTTTAACGGCCGCCAGAAGCTATTCAATGTATGGTAGGTAGACTGTTGTTACAATCTCAAGAAAGAATGGAACGACATGTGGTATCATACCCACCGTCGTCGTGCCTCATATGGCAGTTTCAATGCCCCTGAGTTGGGCGGATGGGTCACTGGTCCGTGCACAGATGCAGCTTCCCACGCGGGTTGCGGGGTCCGTCTCGTCAAAGTCGCGTTGACAGTCGCGTCCCGTCCGGGCCCGTCTGGGGACCATGTACTTGCTCCATTGACTCCACCCTACTCGAACCAACCTACAGACATACATCAACAACGAGCCACGGACAACCCCACGAAAGCAGTTGCTGCGAGACGACACGAGGATAATCACATGCGGCAACACCTCCACCAGCAGACATTCACCTGGCCATAATCCGACATATGCACCCGACGGCGCATGATGGACTCGTCCGTCGCCTCAACGCCGCGGGGCCTTCCTCGCCCCTACGATGCCACCTTCTCAGCAGCGACTCCCAGCCTCCGTCTACGCGCACGAAGCGATGAACCCCCCTCAAGTCACCGCGCGTTCCGCACACCAAAGCAGCCCCGAAGAGACTACCTCAACAGCTCAACACACAAAGGATACTCTGCCTCCGCCAGGAAGAACAATGCGCCAACACCACACGCCAAAGCCGCGTCGCAGTACCTCGACCAACGGCGAGCAGCCATGACGCCCGGCCGAAGGCGCCAAAGTGTCGGCGTGCGGCGCCGGGAGTCCCTCTTTGACAACCTGAGGGCCTTAAGTCAAGCGCTAGCGCCGAGATCCAAGCCCGTGGAGACGTCATCGTCGCCGAGGGATGTGGCCTCAAGATCGAGGCGCTCAACGCGCGCCGCGCAAGAAGACGACGACGACGAGGACGAACTCCCGATAGACAGGCCCGAAATGACACTGCCACTTGATATGGATGACGACTCGGATCTCGTACCACCGCGCTCATCGATCCTCGAAGACCCCACCCTGGAACTTCCACGGCGAGCCTATAGCGAAGCGCCATCACGCCTTTCGCTCGCCAGCAGACGCCTGTCCGAATTCTACAATGTGAGGGATGCCCTCAGCGACGAAGACGCACCCGGCCAAGGCTTCTTCCCATCCATGGACGCAGATGAAGGCATGGATGACGAGGGGGCTGTGGATGCAACCTTTGAGCGGTAAGTGACCTGGGAACATGCACCGCCTTGACAAACCACTGACGAGAGAACCCAGCATCGATGAAGAGCGCCGCGAGACTCTTGGTGGCCGGCCGAGTGACTTTGGCTTCGCCATTCCGCAAGATGCGGACCCCGATGCCTCCACCTTCATCATGGGCCTGGGCGCCCAGAGCTCACCGACGCGGCCCGTTGACGTTGCACCCGATGAAGTAGAGGTCGATCTTGGTCCTGGAATGGAGGAAGACCCAAGCGCTCCAATGGAAGCTACCTTTGACGCGCTGGCAAGCGATGCCGACCAGCCTGAGCCGTTTGGCGAAGCATCGGATGACGAGGCACTGAATGAGGAATTGCCGGATGCCGAGGTGACGGCTCACAGCGAGATCGATAGCAAGCAGCGAAAGCCCCGGGCAGGAAAGGCAGGCTGGAAGAGGTCGAGGCACGGCCACTCCTACCCCCCCTTTCCCTCTACCGTGGTCAAACGAGTTGCCGAGCAGTTCGCGCGGACCAGCGGCATATCCAACCCCCGCATCGGCAAAGACACGCTGGCGGCGCTGCAGCAAGCGACCGACTGGTTCTTCGAGCAGGTCTCTGAGGATCTGGGCGCGTACGCGGCGCACGCGGGAAGGAGGACAATAAACGAGAGCGACATGGAACTCGTCATGAGGAGGCAAGTTTTGGGTATCAATCATTCTGGGCAAGTTGCCTTTATCTAACAGTAGTGTACAGACAACGCCAGGTCAACGAGACGACCTCGACCTTTTCGTTGGCGACGCAGTATCTCCCGGCCGAGCTGGTACATGAGATACGCATGCCGCTCCCGGTGATACCCAAGAAGCGCCGCCGGACGGGCCGAGACGAAGAACGAGACGAAGAACAAGACGAAGCGGAAGTGGCTTGATGCCGCCGGGGACCCAGCCTACCAATTTTTACTCATGCGGACGCGCCTGGAGATGTCCGATGACGGCTTCTTCGCCACCATGTACAGCATGATGGAGGTTGCCACGCAGAGACCGTACCTGCGAGGAGTCAGGGAAGGGGAACACGGGGGATGGGAGGAGGACTTCCTCCGAGGACACTTACCAGGTGAAGATGTACTGCGCATGGTTGTTCCGCAGATTGACCTCGGCAGCGCGGCCGATGGGGATGCCTTGCGTCTGGAGCTCGATGAAGCGCAGATATTCGGGTTCTGCGAGAGTTAGCAAGACCATCACCTCAGGAGGGACGAGCCGGACAGGGTTCCACAGTTCGTACCCATTGTCGCCTCGATCCACACAGGCTGGCTGCCCGTCAGAGCAGCCATCTGCTTGACGTCGGGAAAATAAAACTCCCACTTGTCCGGGCGATTCTCGGGCGTGAACATGTTCTTCTTCCACGGCTCCCGCAGCAGGCCCTCGACGGTGATCTCGCCCGTCGGCAGGGCCTCGGCGCTCCTCGCGCGCTGGTCGCCCATCTTCTTACTGATCCAGCCCCTGTTGACCAGCACGGTGCTGCCGTCGCCGTCGCGCTCGAGCGGCGTGACGACCATGTAGCCCTGCTCGCCGTCGCGCATGCGCGGCCCGATGAGCATCTCGCGGTCGTGGCGCAGACGGCCGGTGGCGTAGACGCGGCGGTAGTCAAACTCGGCCACGGCGTCGGGGTCGATCTGGGGCGGCAGCGGCAGCGGCTCGCGGACGAGGCGGTCCTCGAGGCGGGCGACGAGCTCCGACTTCCACCCGAGGCGCTGGACCTGCCAGGTGCCGAGGAAGAAGGCCGTCACGGGGATGATGGCGAGGAAGAAGAGGCCGACGCGCGAGCGGTTGCCGCCGGAGCGGACGAGGGTGGCCGGATTGTCAACGAGGGAGAAGAACTCGCCGGGCCCGGAGCTGTCGGCGTCGGGTCCCGTCTTCTTGCTGTTGGCATCGAGGCGGCGCGGGGTGGTGCGAAAGGTGCGGACCGGAGTCGAGGGGGACGCTGCCAGTCGGGGGACCATGGGCCCCTGGGCCTTGGAGATCCAGTTGCTTCTGGGTGCCAGGCATCTCTGCCCTTGAGATATCCTGGTGAGGAGCCGCAATGGGGCTGCTGGAGACGCCATGGTAGTGGTGTGATATGTCGTGGGGGAGAAGTGGGAGCACCTCGTCTGGTCCCGAGATTCAAGCCGTCATTGGCGGGTGATGCATCAATGCAATAATGCACCTTGTCGAGGGAGCTTTGGCCATATGCATATGTCGGGGTGCTTGGGGAGCTGTCCATGATTTGGCCAATGGCAAGCTCGACAAAGGCAGCCCGGCCGTTGACAGGGGTCACGATGCATGGATCAGGACAGCATCATCCGGGCAGGCATCTGTCTGGTCTGCCCTTCCATCTCACCTCACGCCTCATGCTCTCGCCCATGTCCTCAAGGGAGATTGCAACCGGATACTTGAGGGTTCTCTCAGCTGGGCGTCTTGATCCAAGCAAATCGTCATATCTCTCCACGTTTCACCCTACTTCCATCCCAGGGCCCTCCATTGCATTGCCCTCCCTACCTGGGGTCAGCTTCGTGGAGGTCCCAGCGCCGACCGTATCCGTCGATCACGAGAGCTTCCCCACCACTCCGTCGTCGACATCCAGTCTCACACACGACCATCAGCGATCGTCATGTTCTTCGAGGGCAGCCTTCAGGAGGGCATTGCTGCCGCGCTTCTGCAGGGCAAGCCCGTGGCATGCTTCGTAACAGGTATGCATCCCATGCCCACGACCGTGGTCCCTCACCTGAACCCCACACTCACGTGCCTCACAGATGACGGAGAGGAGAGCCGAACATGGCTGGATGACTACATGCAAGACGCGCCCATCAAGAACCTCCTGAGCAACCAAGCCATCTTGATGCGGCTAGAGGCCGGTTCAGAAGAAGCAGGCCATCTCGCTGCCATCTTTCCATTGCCAAAGACGCCCACGCTGGTCATCATCAAGAACGGCGATCTCAAGGGGTACATCACTTCTGGCACCAGCAGAGAAGACTTCGCCCAGCGAGTTTCCCAAGCTTTCAGCACGCCCTCAGAAACTACGACGCCAGCACCATCCTCTTCTGCCGCCGCCACGACGCCTTCCCTTCAGACTCCACCGCAAACTCACCAACCATCAACGTCGTCGTCCAGCTCATCCGCCGGCGCTCCGACGCCCACGCAAGAAGAGAGCAACACGGCCACCCTACGCGCCGTCATGGCCGAGCGTCGCGCCCGGCTCGAAGCCCGCCGCCTGGAAGAGGAACGCAACGCAAAGGAATCCCGCGCCGCACGCGCTGCCGCCGCCGCGACGGATCCTGCCCCCGAAGCCGTCGAGAAGCGGCGCCACGCCGAGACCCTGCGGAAGCAGCGCCAGGATGCCGCTGACGAGCGCAACCGCATCCTGCGTCGCATCGAGGACGACAAGCTCGCGCGCCAGGCCCGCTCGGCGGCTGCGCGCGAGCCCAAGCTCGGCGACGTTGCCGGCTCCCTGGCGAGCGCCGCATCGAGCACCGTCAAGCCCGCCGGCGGGCAGGCGGCGATCCAGGTGCGTCTCTTTGACGGGTCGTCGCTGCGCACGCGCTTCGAGAGCACCGAGGCGACGCTCAAGACGGCCGTGCGCGCCTGGGTCGACGACAAGCGCACCGACGGCCAGGCGCCCTACACGTTCAAGATTGTGGCAGCGCCACCGCGGCCCAGCCGCCGTGTCGACGAGACGGAGGAGGGCAAGACGCTCGCCGAGCTGGGCCTCACGCCGAGCGCCACGCTCATGCTGGCGCCCGTCAAGAAGTACGCCGAAGCCTACCAGGCGCCGCGCCGTGGGCTGCTCAAGCTGCCGCTCGTCCTCTTTGGGAGCCTCATCGGGCTGCTCGCCTGGCTGTGGGGCCTCGTAAGAGGCATGTTCTCCGGGTCGAGCGCCGGCCGCGCGGAGAGGGAGCGGGCGAGGGAGGAAAGGGACAGGGAGGAGGCGGAAGCGCAGGCTGCCCAGGTCAGAGAGCAGCGCAAGGGCAAGTTCTCCCAGCTGGCGAATCTCAACCAGAGGGACCAGCAGCTGTACAATGGGAATTCGGTAAGCAACGACCGCCGCCTGGACATGACCAAATGAGCATGACTGACAATGGAGCAGCTCAACTTTGAACCGAGGCCAGACGAGGAGGAGACATGAAGTACTACAGTATTGAGAGGCGCGACACCAGTGGCAAGGTCATTCATTTTTTATTCATTTTCAGGAGAGCAGGTAAAACGTGCAAACGAGGAGCGGAATGTCCTGTATTGTACACCGCAGTGTGGGGATGCAATATCTAGCAGATGACCTTTTTCACGTCACCAAATCGGCGATAATGCCCGAAGAGCCACTCCCTGTTCGTCCCCCGAGGCTTTGTTCCGAATCTTCATGCGTATATATATATATATCGTACAGCTGTGCGCCGGTCCCATCCATCCGTCCGTCTAGTAGTTGCTGGCAGCGGCCTGGCAGGCTTTCTACAGCGCACAACACGGATTAGCACATGTCGCACGTCACCTATTCTCTGTGCGAGCAACGAGGAAGAACGTACCAGCTGCTCGAGGTACCAGTTGCAGATCTGCATGTTGCCAGACTGCTCGTCCATGCACTTGGTGAACTGCTGCAGGGCGGGCTGGCAGTTGTTGGCGCCGTACTCCTGGCTCGGGGCGGTCTGCTGCTGCGCGGCCTGCACCTGGTTCTGCTCGGCCGGGGCGGGCGAGGCGCCGCCACCGAAGAAGCCGCCGATGGCGTGGCCGACGGAGGAGCCGATCGCGACACCACTGTGAGGAGTTTCTGTCAGCCTTTTTCTTCTTCTTCTTCTTCTTCTTCTTCTTCTTCTTCTTCCTCTTCTTCTCTGCGACGACGATGGCAGAGGCCGCCCGAAAGCCGGGGCTCACGAGGGCCCTCTGCTCGAGGATCAACATACGCGGCGGTGCTGGCCATCTGGCCGAAGAGGCCGGGGCCCTGGCTGGGCGCCGCGGCGGCGGGGGGAGGAGCGGCGGCGTGGGGAGGAGGCGCGGCCATGGTCGTCGCCGGGCGCGTCTGCTGGGGGGCGGGCGCCGGCTTGGAGGCGACGGTAGGACGCGAGGGGGCGGAGCGGCCGCCGGAGGATCGTGTCGCGCGAGGCATGTTGGCTGGCTGGTTGGGGGTGTGGAGGATGGGAGTGGTTGGGTTGGCTTGTGTTGATGCGGACGAGGAGGTCACTCTTGAGGCTGCGGACGGTGGATGGGAAATCTGGGAGGAGAGGGACGGATGGCAGAAGAAGATGCTGGACACGAAGCTCGGCTTTGGGAGGCGTGAAGGGGGTCTGTGGCGGTGCCGTGGCCAATCGGGTGGCGGGGAATTCTGATTTTTTGACTTCCTGGGGAAGTGACCCTTGTTTATGCACATAGCAGGGTGTCACAGCGAACATGGGCTTTACGGTTTTGGTCCTTTCTTTGCATGCTGTTTGCTGGACGACTCTCTCATTCTATTCGTTCCTCCGCTGTTGGTCGACTACTCAGATGAAGGGCACAGTGCTCTATAAACTTCAGTCGCGGGAATTGCGAGTGACCTCCGTTTGACAATGAATGAAGACGTATTCTTCATCTAAGCGTCATGTTTTTGCAGCGCCTCCGCAAGTCTGCTTTCTCCATATTGATCTGCCTGGCAGAACCATACTGATCTGTCTGGCAGAATACGCGGCAGCCGTCAGGTCTTTCCTGCTGTGCAGTCTCCACGTACCTGCAGTGAAGACCAAGGGGTATCATTCGTGTCCACCCATGGGCTTCGCGAGACCCGATTCTTCACGAGGAGCCCACGAGCCTCAAAGGTCAGTTGTCATACGCACACTTTGCTGGCAGCTCAAGCCTTCCGCTTCTTGTTCTTCTGGCGAGATCCGCCATTGGATGCGGACGCGTCGCCTCGCTGCTTCTTTCCTTGGCCGGCACTTGTGTCGTCCTGGGCAGGCCTCTTACTATTTTGGATAGAATTGAGGAGAGCCTTGGCGCGCTCCTCCGCGAGCTTCTCTTCCAACTTCTGCTTCAGGTCCTTGCTATTGCTGCCCTTGACGTCTGTTAGCAAGCGCTGTGCGGCGCGCTGGTCCATAACTGTACTTACAAGGTCGGCCTTGAGAATGCGAGTTGCTGCTTCCGTATTTACTGATGTTGTGCGCTGCGCCGGGGGCTCCTCGGCCTTCTGAATCTTGGCAAAGTATTGCTTCACTCGCTTGAGCTCAGTCATGACTTCGTGGTTGGCGGCATCGACTCCTTGCAAACGCAGAGCGGCTGTCGCATGATCAGCAGTTGGTGCTCATCAGGGTAAAACTCGAGACCTACAGAAAAGAAGTGACTCGATGGAGTAAGCTGTCAAGGTCATGAGCTTCGCCTTGTCCAGTAACGGGAGTTCTGAGGACATCTCAGGAAGACCCTTGAGAAGGGGCTCCAGTGACTCCTCAAGGTCGTCGATTGTGCCGTCCAGCCTCTCGAGGTCGGGAATGATAGTCTTGACATCCATTTTGGTGCTTCTTTGCCTCCTTGGAAATACTGGTTCTGCTTGGGTATGGACCCCAAAAGTGTTGTCAAAGAACGTATGTTTGATGAAAGAGTATCTGCTGCCCGTTGAAGTGAAATTTCACCTGAAGATGGGATGCAATGATGTGGCTATATGCATCTAAGAGAGTTGACACCAAAGATGGTCGTGGTTAGTCAGCTTGGCAGGGTGGCACCGGCGGGAATTGACGGTTCGATTGCACCCTCGTCGCGTGGGTTTGAGCAGAAAATGTCCCCGTCACCAAACTCCACGATTCCCATGGTCGATAGGGGCCTACTCGCCAGTCAAAACACGGTCCCCGAGCCACTACCGACTTTCCTTGCCTGCGTAACACCAACCTGACGACGGCTTACATACCTCCTCACTTGTCTCCTACATCTTTCCCATCTCGACGGCCCCTTGCGCAGAGCCACGGCTCGATGCCGACAACGCATTGAACCCGACTCCCTCAGACCTTTGCCACCGTGGCTACCGCCGTGGCTACACTACCCCGACCGCGGCTTCACGCCCGGATACCTCACACATACGCAAGATGGAGCCAAGGTAGTCTGTCCGCGGGCCGGGGAGCCATCAGATCCGTTTCAGTAGGCGCATCACGAAGTCCTGGCTTGGGATCTGGACAACCACCAGCCGCCCTCTCGCCCGGCAAGATCGCGCCGAAAGAGATGGCCGCAACCGTTCCGGGTGCGGCAACGCTAGGAATCACTCACGAAAAGAAGGAAGGCTTCAAGAAGGTCCTGGGCATGATGCCCGAGCAGAACGACCAGGAGCTTTACGCCATATTCCGTGCCGACTCGTTGAACCGATTCTACGTTCCGGCAGTCATGATGGGCCACGAGGAGCCAGCGCCCCCATCTTCCCGAACCGTCCACATCCTCGGTTCTGATTCAAGATCCAAATTCCTCTCTCACTCGCTTTACGGTGTCTACGATTCAATACAGACGATACACTCTGGCAAAGAAAGCCCGTTTCACCAGAAGAACAGCTACAACAACGTTTCTGGCAACGCACGGCGGCACCGGTCCCGGCCGTCCAGGTCGCCGAACTGGATCGACAGCAACGCTGGTATGTCTCAGTCAAGAGCTGCCGCGGAGGAAGCGAACCAAGGGCACATCAGCAATCTGGTCGTCGCGGGGCCCCCGAGCCACACGGTCAAACTGTTGGAACAGGTCAAGCACCGCGTTGATGACCGGACGGCCATTTGCCTGATGCAAGACGGGCTCGGCGTGGCCGAGGCAGCGAACAACGAGATCTTCACGAATCCCGACACCCGCCCTTCCATCGTCCTCGGCCACATGAGCCACGCCCTCGCCATGGACCGCCGCCGCGACGCCGTCCGCTCTCAGGACCCCAATTTTGAGACGGCCCTGACCTCGGTCCGCCCCTATCTCGGCCGCGAGCGTAGGGACCACCACCACCAGCTGGACCCCTCGAGCGAGAAGTGGCTGCGCACGCAGGGCATGCTGTCCAAGTTTGCGGCGGCCACGGACCTGCGGGCGCGCGGGCTGCCGCTCGACAGCTGGCTCACGCTCAAGATCCCCTCCCTCATGTTCTCCTCCGTCGTCGACCCCATCTGCGTGCTACTCGACTGCCACTACGAGCAGCTCCTGTTCAACCCGACGGCGAACCGCCTCATCGGCCAGCTGCTGGACGAAATCGCCAACGTCGTGGAGCGCATGCCGGAGCTCAGACGGGCGTCGCCCATGCTGCAGGCGGCGCTTCGCGGGGAGGGCATGCGGAAGGACACCATCGGTCGGCTGAGAGGCAAGAAGGGCTCGCCGAGCAAGATGGTGACGCAGATTGAACGCGGTCAGCTGACGGACATTGACTACCTGAATGGGTACTTCATCCAGCGGGGCAAGAGGCTTGGCGTCGACATGCCGGCGAACGAGATGGTTGTGGGCATGGTCAAGGCGAAGCATAAGGCTCAGCTGCAAAAGTTGAGATCGTACATCCCGATGGAGATGACGTCCAGGTTGTAATGGCATGCTTTTACTTTTACATTGTATACTTTCTGCTGAGACGGGCTGAGGAAGGATGGAGCGTAGGTCTGATGATGCATTAACCAGAGCTCTTACGTAGGGATAGACTTGGGCAACTTCAGTGTACGAGAAGAAGTTTGATCTTGGCTCCTCGAATCATGCAATGGTGTCTTGACAATACCGACGACGATCCTACTTGCTCCGGCTGGCGACTGGCGACTGATGAGTCTGTATGGTAGAGCCAACGACGTTTCAGTTGCATTAATCAGACCTGGGCCTTGCAGAGCTTCTCGAGGCGGACAAGCTTTGCACAGTACACCATGCTGAAGTGACTTTCATATCACCACGGACTGCGGAAGAGCCTGGCGTGGATGCGCGCCGTCCAACCGTCAGCGCAGCGTTAAATCCGATTCCGCAAGAATTAGTTCCTATAGCCGGCCTGTCGGGTTTTGTTTCTGTTATGCTTGGCCAGAACATAACGAACAGCCGTAACGAGGAGGAGGCAGACCCACCGGACTTAGTAGAGGCCGTGGCACACAAAGTCCGAGGGTGCCACCTACCTTGGATCTCTCGGGGTCTGTCAGGACGCGATGGTAGCTATAAGCAGTGCGTGTACTCTTGATCTAGGAAGGCATTTCGGTCTTCTCCAGCGATCGTTTGAAGCACAGCGATGTGAGTACTGTCTCAACCACATCACTACCGACTGCAAGATGCTCCGGCATAACACTGACACAGGCACGTCACCCCCTACCTGACGACTGGCCTTGATCCGACCTCACAGCCACAATGACCACCAACAGAAACCTGATTCTGCTCACGGGCGCAACCGGATTCATTGGATTCAGAGTCTTGGTTGAGGCTCTGAAAGCGGGTTATGCCGTTCGGTGCGCTATTCGCAGTAGCCAAGCCATCAAAGTCATCCTTTCGACACCGAGCATCAGAGCTCTGAAGCCGAGCGAGCATCAACTGTACTGGGCCTTTGTCCCTGACATGGCAGTACCCGGAGCCTTCGATGCAGCTGTCAAAGGGGTCAAGTACATCATCCACTGCGCGTCACCGGCGTCCAATACCAATGTGAGAGGGTCGGCGCCTACCAATAGCGACGAGTGGCAGGTCCAGACGGCCATCAACAGCATGTGCTGGTTGCTTCAGAGCGCTTACAAGCTGAACCCAAGCACGGTGCGCCGAATCGTGTTCACGAGCTCGCTCACTGCCATCATACCGCATGCCTACTTCAAGGGCCAGGGAGGGCTGACCGGCCCAGCTTTTAATGCCGAGAGCCGATTGCCCATGCCCTCTGCACCGTTCGCTTCAGGGTCCGGCCCGCACGCTGCTAGTAAAATCGCGGCATTGAACGCGTCTGAGAGCTGGGTGCGACACTTCCGACCACCCTTCGACCTTGTCTCCATCTTGCCAGCCTGTGTCTGGGGTCGTCATGAGCTTGCTGGCACGGCAGATGAGCTCACCAAAGGCTCGAGCGGCGTCATGATCGATTTGCTTCGGGGTCAACGTAATGACACACCAATCTGCGGAAGTTTCATCGGGATCGAAGACGTTGCAAAGGCACATGTCCTCGCACTCGATCGTCAAGTATCGGGTAACCAGTCATTCATTCTATCATCAGACATGGCGTGGGAAGACACCAAGGTGATAGCACAGAGGGCTTTCCCATCTGTCTTTGACAAAGGCATCTTCAGCGTGGATGGTACGCAAAAGTCTGTCGGGGTCGCGATCGATGCGAGCAAGACGGAGCGTGTCCTTGGTCTCAAGTTTCAGAGCTTCGAACATGTCGTCACTGACGTGGTGTCCCAATGGCTTGAGCTCTCGCAAGCACGCCTGGGTGAGTGAGGCTCGTATGCTAAGATATTCCAGTAATTGCAAGTGTCATTGTGACATGCAGGACGCTGGTCAACATTTTAACCCTGGGTTGGAATGTATCTTCATTGTCAGCAGCAGAACTTTAACGCGGCCATCGGCCTCGAGAACAAACCCAATTGCGTGTTTTTCTTTTTGTGCCAACTGCCAAAGTTTTCGAATCTAGTAATGGTGTTGCACTCATGTAGACAAAGGGGGTGTACGCCTCGGAGCAGACGGAAGAAACGTACGAGGTAACATGTCACTGACAACAGTCTCCGTCTGTGCGATCATCGCCTTGGCAAGGGGTTCCTGGAGTGAGGAGAATGTTTCGATTCAGCTCGCTAGCTCGTTCCCCGTCGTGGCAGGGCATAAGGCCAAAGCCCATGGTTTTGTCACATGAAATAACCCATAGTCAGCGGCGGCTTTCCGAAAAGAAATATGTTCCACGAGTGGGCTGCGTGGACTCGACTGCTGACATGCTGTTCCCGCACGTGTTGAATGATGGAGCGCTTTGGTACTGCGGAGACGGGATAGGAGTCGTCATTTCAAGCGTTCAAGCACACCCTCCCCCAATCGTGTACGCCTGTCCACTGATCGACTGCTGCTGACATGCGGCGACCATGTGAAGACGGTCGATACCCGCCGTGATAGACTGGGTATCTGTGCGACGAGAGACGAATCAAGGACCGAGCTAGAGGAGGGGGCGGGCCTCTGTGGAAGGGTTAGAGCAATGGTTCGGCCGAAACATTCCTCAAGCATTCCATGACGAAGTCCTATGGAGCCCAGGAGACCAGAGGCTGGCTGTGATACAAGACGTGCGTCAAGTGGCGCTTGAGCCCGAGACCTCGGCGGCCGGAGCTTTCTGTTGACAGGCGAAGATGTACAAGGCGAGGTCGCAGAGGCTGCCGACTACTGAGTAAGGTAGTAAGGTAGCGCAGGGTGTGACTCGTGGTAAGGGAATGTGCAGCAGGTGGGGGAGAGACATGAGGAGCACCAGGCAAGAAGCCCTCGAGTCTGTCCCTGCCTTGCTTACCTACCTTCCTACCTTACCTACCTAGGTAGGTACCTAGGTAGACACATGGTACAAACCAAAGCCAGAGCGAGGAGCAATGAAGAAGAGGGGAGCCGGGGAGGCCCGAGTGCACGATCCACTGAGCTCGGGCCACCACTCTGGCCTCCTTTAACAGGTCGCCAGCAGGATGCAGTGTACATGCTGTTATTGCTAGTGTCGGTGCTAGGCCCCCTTTGTTCACCTGAATCCCCCACTATCGTCCCTGACTCCTGGTGGTCTGCTAGCGCGACCCTCCTGTAAAGAAGCAGTGATTGGGTGTGAGGGGGCGCTATGCTTCAAGGCCATGAAGATGAGGGCGCCTTGCATCTTCAAACCACGTCCAACCTGGACCCAAGAACCAAGACTAGAGGCTGGGATCCCACCCACTCGTCTCGCCCGCCGTGCCACACCACCATCACACCACACCACTAGCAGGCCACAAACCCCATCTCGTTACCGCTGTTGCTGTGACAGGGCCCTTTTTTTAATCTGTATCCGATTCTTTTGTCGCCTCAGTCCAGTTTCCCTCATCTCCTGAAAGTACCGTCGCCCACCCTCGCTGTTCCATCACCAATCCTGGAGCTGGAGCTTCTCAACTGTCGCCTTTCAACCGATCACTACGAGACAGCTCTCCTCGTGGCACCGCATTCGCTCACAGGACACCAATCGCAAATCACGACGCGACAATCGCGTGCGTAGATATCGTGAGTTGACTCTTCCCCTATCACACCCCTCAGACATCCCCCAGCCTTCTCTGGACACCTATCGACCGGTTGTCCCATTCTCCTTATTTCTGTCGTTGGTCGTCCCAATTCATGCCATCGGTCCTCTTTCCCATCACATGGTGTTCATGATTGGCGACTCGTTGGTCAGGGGTCGCTATCCCTCCCTTCCGCCTACCGCCCCCCTTTCACCTGTGATCGATATCGATATCGGTACACCTGTCTAGGTAGCCACTCGAAACCAACCCAGCGCTTTGCTCTGGTCGGAGCTTCGCACTTTGGCCTTGGCCGCTGCAGCGGACAAACTTGTTCGGCATCCCTTCCTCTTTCCAACACGTCTGAACCCCCCCCCCCAGCACTCTCCCACGTTCCAGGCTCTCGCTCACAGGCCACCCACCCCCAGCACAACACCTGGTCCAGGTCCTTGCCCACCATTGCCCGGCCCAGCGTCCGCCCCCCGTCGCAGCAGTGGTCTCTAAACAGACCGCCATCCCCACTTCGCCCAGGCAGTCGGGCGGGAGTTTCCTGATAATACGTCCCTGTCAACCAGCCCTGTCCACCACCGTGCTTCTCCCCGTCTCTACTTCTGTTCCGCCTGTACTGCTGCTTCTGCCCGCGGCATCATCCTCTTCCGCGACCCCAAACACCTCCGACTCTCTAACCTTCATGCAGCCATCGATCAAAGCTACCCCGAACCCTTCGACATAGCTGCCAACGTCCCTCGACCATCACCCACTCTTCCCGACCCATACCGTTACCGAGTGCTGCGTTCGTCACCCTTGGTCCGACTATTGCCCAACCCCCTCACGATACCCATTTCGAAATTTGCCTGGCATTGCGACCGCTCTCAGCCATCACGATCCTATCCAACCACTCTCAACAGCTGCTATTCTACATCTACCAACCAATAGATTTAACGACATGGCTCAACCAGGTGTTCAGTCTTTGAAGGTCAGTCTTGGCCTTGCATCATCACTCCATCAGGGGGGCCTCCTTGTGTGTTTGATTCACCAGCTGACGTTGAATGCCTTGGTAGTGCGTCGTGACCGGCGACGGTGCTGTCGGAAAGGTAAGCCAACCCGACTTGTTCATCATGGTGCGCCAATCCACTGACTTGCGAGAATAGACTTGCTTGCTCATCTCCTACACAACGAATGCTTTCCCTGGTGAATACATTCCCACAGTGTCAGTCTCCGTGTGCCACCGGTAGTCTTCTGCTGGACGCGATTGCTGACGTTGAGATGGCAGCTTTGACAACTACTCTGCTAGTGTCATGGTGGACGGCAAGCCAATCAGCTTGGGACTGTGGGATACTGCCGGTCAAGAGGATTATGACAGGCTGCGACCTCTCTCTTACCCCCAGACTGACGTCTTCCTCATCTGCTTCTCCATCGTCAGCCCGCCGTCATTCGACAACGTCAAGGCCAAGGTAGGGTTACACGATCCCCGTAGATAAAGCTGCGAATTTTGTGTGCTGACTGCGCATGCAGTGGTACCCCGAGATTGACCATCACGCACCAAACATTCCCATTATCCTCGTCGGCACTAAGCTCGATCTTCGGGAGGACCCCGGCACCCTCGAGTCGCTGCGCCAGAAGCGCATGGAGCCGGTCTCCTACGACCAGGCCCTGGTGTGTGCTAAGGAAATCAGGGCGCACAAGTACCTCGAGTGCTCCGCGCTCACGCAGAGGAACCTCAAGAGCGTCTTTGACGAGGCTATCCGGTATTTCAATGCGCCACGACTCTGGCATTGCGACAACTTGCTAACTCGGATCCCAGTGCCGTCTTGAATCCCCGCCCCCAGATGCAGAACAAGAAGAAGAGCAAGTCTTGTTCGATTCTGTAAATGGGCCACATCGTCGACGGTGTCTGAACGTGGACGCACCTTGAGGGCTTGCTGTTCGCCTGCGTATAGTGATGTTCCGCATCATCCTGGTCCGCACCGAGCAAGGGTTACGCAAGCTCATCATACATAATTCATAACCAAAGGGGACGATCTGGCTGGCACCGGGCACAGCACGAAAGACAGATGACACAGTGATGGCGTGTGGGAGGGGATACAGCACTGATACGAGGCGAAGCCCCTCTTTTGTTCGTATTGGCATGATAGTGGGAGGTCGGAGACAACCTCCCGCGATACTGAGAGTCAAAGAAGGCTGAAGAGGCCAGGGAATGGCGCAACGAGCCAACGGACGGCAGGCCGGGCATGACACGAAGGATATCCCAAGTCACGTTAGTTTTCTGTAGATAGCATGCGTCTGTGTCTTTGATTCGTACAAAGAACATATAAATGGCAGGAGGGAGGGCGGGGGTCACTAGGTATATCTTTTTTTTCTTTCTCAACTGCTATTGAGAATATTCAAACATCATCTTCTGCACTTCTGCATGTATGGTGACGTCTTCATTGAAGGTATTTTCAGGAGTAACCCAACGTATCATCTTGAAACAAACACAGCAAGTGTATTCCATCCATAACGCCAACCCGGCTTGAAAATGCCAATGTGCAAGTCGTCCAGTTTTTTCCCTCACAGTCTCAGGGTGAAGGAAGGTCAAGAAAGCATGGCCAGGCGACTGGGGTGGATGCCGCTCTCTTCCGCAGTCGATCCGGTAGCCGCATTGCCCTTCTTTGCCTCGTTCTCCTTGTGGATGCGCTTTGCGCGGTTCTCGTCCAGCTGAATGTTGCGCGCCTTAATCTTCTCCTTGCGATTGTCGGATTTCGCACCACCGCCGCCAGCGCTAGAGAGGTCACGATCAGCTTGGGGCTCTCAAAAGGGGGCAGGGGGAGGGGGGTTTGGAATTGGGTGGGGAGGAAGGAAGGAGAACGTACGTCAAAAGCACGTTGATCTTCCTCGCGGGCGACAGGCCGTCGTCAAACAGCGTGTGGTGCATCTTGTCCAGGCAGGTGCGCATATGCGTGCTGTTGGAGAATTCGACAAAGGCGAAGCCGCGGCACGTATTCTCGACGCGGTCCTTGGTGAGACAGCGGACGGACGAGGGCTTGAGGTGGGCAAAGTGCTGGTAGATTGTCTTGTCCGTGGCCGTGTAGGGGAGGTTGCCGACGAAGACGATGTGGCGGCCGGCCTTGCCTTTGCTCTGGTCGGGCTGCGCGCCACTGGCCTCGTCGGTGCCGTTGGTCTTGTCGTCGTTCTTCTTCTTGCTCTTGCTCTTCTTGCCGTTGGTCTGCGGCTCGGCAGCGGCTCCGGCGGGGGCTGGTGCCTCTGTCGTGTCGGCCGTGGTGGGTTCGGCGGCCTTCTTGCTCTTCTTGGCCTTTTTGCTGGCGGTCTGTGTCTCGTCGGCGTCGGCTGTCACGAGGGGTTCTGACGCGGGGCTCTCGTCGTCTTCGGCGGCCTTGTCCTTCTTTTCCTTCTTCTCCTTTTTCTCCTTCTTCTCTTTCTTGTCCTTCTTCTCTTTCTTGTCCTTCTTCTCTTTCTTGTCCTTCTTTTCCTTCTTATCCTTCTTGGCGGGTGTGTCGACTTCGTCAAAGTCGGCGGGGACGTCGATGAAGTCCTCGGCGGTGGCCTTCTTGATGGACTTGCTGCGCTTGGCCTTGCCGCCCTCGCCGTGCCCGTCGCGCTTGCGCTTCTCGGCCATTGTGTATCTTGGATCTGATTTCAAGTCGTGCGTTTCTGCCAGGGTGGTATGGAGAGAAAAAAGCGTGCAAGGAGTTCCAACAGCACGGTCTGGGTTTGCGACAGATCTCGTTATCGCACGATTGGCAAAGCGCTGACGGTCCGTCGATTAGGAAAAAAAGATTTTGGGCTTTGCACTAAGAATGCATAAGTGCCCTTTTGGGACAGAGGTGCCCCATTTTTAGGAACGTGGAACCCCCCCATCCCCCACCCCCACGTACAGCTAGCTGGGAGCACTGAAGAGCCCAAGTTGATTTGACCACGAACTAGCATAGTTTTTGGTGCTTTATGAGACGAGATTGCAGGCTAAATGTTTTCGAGGTAAAGCACTATAGAGCGGCCAATGCTTGACGGTCGACACTCTAGCGAGTATATCCGGTGCTTGTTGTTCTGGAGAATTACCTGTCGTTCGAGTGCCCGTAGGACCCTTCTTATGTCTCGTCCGTCAACCGTTGCTGTCAGGCCGTAACAATATATCTAAGGACAGAAAACTGGCGCCACCACGCGTTCGCATCGCATCACAGCAAACCAATTTCTAGGTTGCAAGATTAGAGGGCGACTCGCACCCGTCGTGATATCATAGACCCAATGAGGCCGCGATATCCTCACGGGAGACAGATATATTCTTGTGCGCCCTGGAGAACTGATTCGTTCTCGACAGCAGCCGTAAGGCGGCCCTCGATCGACCCGACGAATCAACCCGTGTGGAGAATTGGACATCACGATACGTCATCAGGATCAATGCTGCGGACGAGAATGCTGGTCTGCAAACGGGAGAAGACGCAGCTACACAGGAGCCCAGCAGGAGGTGTCCCACCCCACCACGGAACTTGATGAGTCGCGAGAGTCGGACTACGAAACCAAAGAATCCGAGCAATAGGAGGAGACTGCACACATACACATCCTTGGTGCTTTACACCAACTTAAAGCCAGCAACAAGGGCCACTTATCAGGAAGAAATTTAATTGCCTAAAAAAATCAAGAGGGCTCTCTGCTTGAGGTGCTTTCGCGCCATTCCCTTGGTTCAATTCAAGAGCATCTCGGCCGCCCCAAGGAAACATCGAGCTGTCGCAGTTCGGATCACATTGATCTTTATCGCAGATTAGGCTCGTTAGCCCATAGCCTTTGATATAAGAAAAATCCAGTCACTAATCATGCATCCCTCCTTTGTGGATTGCCCAGCGGTCTAATCGATCTCGAGGTAGGAAGCTTAGTGCACACTCCAAGCCCCTTTTCAGACTACCATCGAGAATATCAGGTGAGAAGATGGCTAATAGATCATCCAGAATCGACCTCAACCCGTTACGAGGTATCCGGATGGGTCACTCCTTACACCGTCGAAACCGTATTCAAGCGATAAGGCATTGAAACGGTCGCCCGTATTCTACCTGCAATGAGATTCACAATGCAGTGTACCTAGTTGGGCTGCCATAAATGTCGCGCACCGAATGAGAATGTGCACTGAGCAGACTGCGGGGGTCTTGTGATCATCGAAACGAGGGCCTCTGTAAGAGCGTGCGGGCCTTGAGGAGCAGAGTTCATACTTTCCTCCGACTCTCACTCATGCACCCCCCGCTTTGTATTTCTCAGGCTGGTGATTATTTGTCCCTATACTTTATCATTAGTGGCTAACATATATAACTCCAGTCTTGCTCAGTCATGGATGATGAGGCTCAAGCGAAGTTTATGGCTGAATTGGACGCAATGATACGAGAAACACGAGGGACATGATTTGTCGTCATTATGGGTGAGGGACTGTCCCATTTCTTAAACCAGCAATTGTAGCCTGAGACTGCTGCAGCAAACGCTGTATCTCTTCCTCGCGTCCTTCCACATGAAGATTATTCTCGTCGAGATACTGAGCAAAGCGCTGTGACTCTGCTAAGCGCCGACCCACGTCTTCTTGTAGCTGTCCACTATCAGGGACAGGAATATCACACAATCCAGTTATATTTAGCATAATTCTTTCCCAGAAGATAAAGTCAAGCTCCGCAGGATCTACAAGTATATGCGATAATGACCAAGTAAGGGGGTCTCTAGAGACCCACTCGGCTGCAAGCTGAGAATGGTACCTCGATTTCTCTTTCATAGAAGAAAGCACATATACGAACTCAGAGGGTAGGTCTGCTAGGCCCGAGTCGTTGCCTGTAATCCATGTCGGGGGGGTGGAGGCACACTGCGGGATACTTGCCGTATACTCCCAGTCAATAATACCACGTATATTGAGCTCCTCGTCAACGAGGATATTACTATGGCGAAGGTCGGGGTGCGCTAAAAAGAACGACTGGGCGGCCGAGTTGGCGTTAATTCTGTCCTGTACCTCTGGCTGACAAATAAATTGCTGGGCAAATTCCTCTCGCTCAGCTTGCTCACGATCTAAGTCTTTATACGGCATTGTCCATATATGCCGAAGGATGCGAAGCTGGTCATTGAAGAACTCTTTCGCATTAGTAGTCACAATGCGTGAGACTTTGTATCCGGCCGCCTGGAGTTCGTTTTTGCGGATTGAGAAAGCACCGATAATGTCTGGTGGATTTTCGAGGCCGATGTCCCCGCTAGTGCTAGGCATAAGCGAGCCTCCCTGAGTGAAAGGGAGCTTTCGAAGTTCTGCAAAGACGTCAACTAGTTGCTGAAGAAACAGCCGACGACAAGGTTGTAGACTAGTCTCGAGTGCTTTTCTGGTTCATGGCTGGCCTTCTATTTGTTCCATAATTATAAAGACTTGAAGCTCTGATGTATTTCGGCAGAGTTGGCTCTTCCCGTAGGCGTATACTCGAGGAATAGGTATATTTGTATTGCGTCGGACGTATCTGCGAAGAGAGTGTTAGAGTAAGGCTGAGGCGTGAGGCGGGAGGCTCAGACTGGAAGACACTAACTGCATTGTACAGACTTCGCTTCGTACTTTATCCCATGTATCCTGTACTGCTGGCTCAAGAGGAATTCGCACGATGCGCGTAGACCCGTCGGTGAACTCGAGGACGAAGCAGCCATTAAAACTTCCCCGGTACCGAGCTTTGATTTCGCATTGTAGGTTTTCGATGTGGTGCTGAGTCCCTAGTGCCCGGATAGCATCTTCGTTGACTGAGCCGAAGAAGATATGGCTGCGACGATAGATCTGCTGCTCGGTTAAGGGCCATGCATGTTGAAGCGAAATGGATGTCACCGCTGGTCGAAAACCAGTGGTGAGGGCTAGTAAGAGTCGAAACACGTTGCTGAAAAGCCCAGTAGAGAATTTCCAGATCGTTGAGAAAGCCGAGAGACCGCGCCGAGCAAGTAAGTACACTGCATCACGCAGCAGGGAGGCTTGTCGTTTGACACGGAATGGTGGGGATCGTGGAGAGAAGTCGCGGATTACTGTAGCTAGGTCGGTCCGGCAGGTTTTAGGGATGATAGCTACCTCGCAGGGGGGGGGGGGGGGATACTGTGGGCCCCCAACTATACGACAGCGTACGAAACCCCGCTGTTTCCCAGCAAAGCGTGGCTAGCCCAAGTTTAACCAAAGTACTGAGAACGCTAGTCCTAATTCAAGCAGCACATTTGGAGTGGACCTCTCCATTCATATCGTTTTCCGTTTCCGTTTTCACGATCACAATGCCTTAACATGGTATGCTCAAGGCCCTGAAAGCTGCTACGTTGGGGCTTGAGAATCTCATGCAGGACTTCATGGGATGAAATAGACCCTCCTACGATGACCACTCGCTGAGACCGCCATCAGCTCTACTAGGCCTGGCCGTGTATAAGGTTGCGTACCTTTCCTGCAAAGCTTTCTGGACCCCTGAAATCCTTGCTGTGTTGGATTTTCCCAGGGAATTTTAGTCGTTCCCGTACAAATGGATTGAGTATGTTCACTCGTCCGCGGTTCAGTCAACGACGCAACAATGCATGGCGCGGTGTCTTCATGTGAATCTTTTCGATCTGAAGTCTCTTTGGCTTGTGGAAATCTTGAGGTGCGAGGTGACCCGAAGCACTGTGTGGAGGGGTCGAATGGACCCTGCAGCCAGCCGACACTTGGGTGCGAGTCCGCCACTATAACATCCCAGCAGCGACCCGGACAGTGCGAGCGCGTCGCGACCGCCTGGCCAAAAAACTGAGTTTGCATCTCAACCATCCGTCCTTCGATCTCGGGGGACAACCATCACCAACCCGCGACCTCTCAGACGTTGGACCCAACCGCGAAAACTTTTTCAACCAAACATAGACGCGTCACACTCGCTCGCATACCGGTAACTGTAAACGCCTCAAAAATGGCCGGCACAAAGCGCAAGGCTCCTGCCCAGAGCAAGAAAGATGCTGGTGGTCCCCCCGCGGCCAAGAAGCACAAAAAGTTCCAGGTCGACGACTCACTTCTCGACATGGACCTCGGCCTCAACAAGTCCTTCTCCGTCATGGACAGCCAGCTTCTCGCGGATTATCTGGCACAGAAGATCAGTCGCTTCGGATCGGATCTGAGCTCGATTGAGGTGTCTGACTTGACGGTCTCTGGTTAGTGTGTTCACAAACGAGACGGGGAGCACCTGGAAAGATGCAATGTTGCTGACATGTCAAAAGCCAACGCTATCCGGGACACGACGTCGTGGGATGAGCCCCGGACTGCGGAGAAGCTGCCCGAGTTTCTCGAAAAGTTTGCTGAGAAGCCGGAGAGGCTGAGCTCTGCGCCTTCCGCCAAGGGCACACCGCACACCATCATCGTTGCCGGCGCAGGTCTACGCGCGGCCGATCTTGTGAGGTGCGTACCCTCTTCCGTCACCTCCTCCACCCTACATGAGGGATGGTCGCTAATGTTCAATCTGGGGGAACAGGGCGACAAGGAAGTTTCAGACCGCTGAGAGCACCGTCTCGAAGCTTGTGGGTGTCCTCGCGCGGAAGCTGGCAGAACTTTATGACACTAACGTCGTATCAGTTTGCGAAGCACATGAAAGTCGATGAGCAGACTAAGTTCCTCCAGAGTCAGCGGACCGGTAT